CCGGTTACCTCGGGTAACACTAACCTCGGCGGACGAGACAGAGGCCGTTCTGCTGTCTGCGAATCATCTCCGCAATGCCTCAAGTAGAGTGCGCATACTACCTGAAATCCCGTGGAAAGAACGTTCAGCGGATCCCGCTAACAGAGAGAGGTACAGAAAAAGTCAAGATAAGAAAACAGTGATTGCTCACGGTGTTCCTGAGCTTACAGATTCCTCTTCCGACGATGCTCAGATGCACGACCGCGAGTAATGGCACTTTATCCAGGAGGCTCTTTCTCTCGAAAATGTCTTGGGCACCTCGTTGACAAGGATCCCCATATCACCAAACTATAAGGGCTGCGGTCCCAGGCTGTTGAAATTGGTGTTACAATCTGAACTAACGGCACAAACCCCTCTAGAGTACTGGACTAAATTCCGTAGCAGATTGCAAACAGAAATTCGCCTGAAAGCAGCGGGAACACTAGCACCTTCTAATGACAATTTAGTGGAGGAACAACTCAATGAAAACGCCAACTTCAGGACCCGACTCGGGGACGTTTACAACAGTAACCATAATATCTAGAAGGACACAGCAGAGCAGGAGCAAACACTGGGATCCGAGGCATCTGATACTTGACTATATACGAAATTCGTCTTGAGAGTCTGCAACCCATCCAAAAAGCGAGTAGTCGCCGACCCTTTAATGGTCGGCGTAAACTCACTTGCTTCATCCATCCAATCTAACACACTTTTGGTCTCCGAGAAGCTCTCATGCATGTACACAAATGCCCAAGGTCTAGTCAGCAAATTAGCTGAATTAAGACTTCGACACGCGTCAGCAGCTTGGGACCTCATCAGTCACCGAAACGTGGTTGCGCTGTGAGATAGCGGATGCCGAAATCGCGCTAAAAGGTATATCCGTTGTCCGGAATGATCGAGCCAGCAAAGGTGGTTGGTTAGCCCTCTACTTTCATAAGAACCTGCAATGCGAACCCATAAACGATTCGGAAACCGATGTACCTGACTCCATTTAGTGCTGCTTCCGGCTGAGAGGTAAAGATCTTGGCCTAGTGGTTGTTGTTTACCGCCCACCATCACCTACACCTGAGATGGACTGCAACGCGGTGGCTGCATTGAGGCAGGTGATAAACAGGAAGTACAGTCACATTCTAGTCACTGCCGACTTCAACCTAAATGCTCTAGAATCCCAGGCCACACCAGGAGAGTAATTCAAAGTAGACCTGCAAGATCTGGTTTCAGACTTCCCGCCTTATGGCCACGTCATTAGGCCCACCAGATTCAGGGGAACTAACAAGCCATCCGTATTGGATCAAATATTCATTAATGAAGAACTGATGGTCGAGAGAGTGACTACCGAAACTCCTTTTGGCCGCAGTGATCATGCGACGCTAGTGTTTCATTACATGTGCTACGCGGATTATCCTAAACAGCATGCCGAGGAATATCATGTCGTAACCTGTCCGAACTGTCCGACCTCATTGATGCAACAAGCTGGTCGTTCTCAGCCGAATCGACCCCTGAGATGGTCTGTGGAAAATTCGTCAACATATTTAACAAGCTCGTGGCAAGGACATCTGAAACCAAACTCTGTCGGCCTAAAAGCATGAAGACTTTCGTAAGGAGCAGGACACCTGAATGCATGACATTAAGGGACTTGGCATGGCACACGTACATAGCCTCCCCGAACGACGATACCTGGGATGTCTACACAATACAAAGAAACCATTGCGTCAAACTGGTACAGGAGAATAAACTGAAGAACCAATAAGGTCTAGTGGAAAAGTTTGCTCCAACCCCAATCTGCTATACAGACACGTTAACAATTTGCGCCGTGTTAAGCGCGCTATTCCTGCTCTGTACACAGCATGCGGGTTAGCCCAAACCTCACAAGAAGCGGCCAACCTTCTTGGACAACAATTTGGACTTACCTTCCAAAGCGTGCAATCATCCTGCCTAAGCAGATAATGCCGCTATCAAGGCTTAATCACATATCGTTTACCTCCGCAGCTGTACTGAAGAGGCTGATGTCTCTGCGCGAATTCAGCTCCCCGGGTGCGGACGGCATTCGCCTGTAGGCCTTGTAAGTTCCTGCCATGAGTTTGGCGGCACCACTAGCAATTTTCTTTCAACGATGTCTGAACGAGATGCATGTACCCACGATGTGGAAGCACGGAATCATCACGCCAATCTACAAAATTGGCAGCCGTGCTGAGCCAGCAAATTATCGCCCGATAACACTACTTCCTGTGATCTCCAAGGTTACAGAGTCCATTGTAGCTGAGGCTTTGATGGGGTACCTGGAGAACAACAAAATTCTCGTTCCGGAGCAGCACGGATTTCGCCAAATCGGTCCTGTACCACTAGTCTGTTGATTGCTCGTGCAAGCTGGACGGAATCTGTGGACGCTGGTGTAGGAGTCGACACGGCCTACCTGGATTTCTCAAAGGTATTCGACCGTATAGACCATCGCATTCTTCTCCACAAACTCCAGAAATATGGAATCGACGATCCTGTTCTGGGCTGGATAGAAGACTTTCTCGTGCAACGTCACCTGAACGTAAGGGTTAGAAGCAACCTATCGGAATCCATCGAAGTTCACTGCGGCGAACCTCAAGGCTCGGTACTTGGACTCCGCCTGTTCCTGGTTTTCATAAATGATCTCGCGAGCGTGCTATCTTCTAACTGTTTGCTATTTGCTGATGATCTAAAATTATGGCGTACTATAGCTGCAGTGAAGGACCACACGGCGTTACAGGAGGACCTGGACAAAGCGTACACATAGTCCATCGAGAAGATGCTGCATTTTAACGTCACCAAGTGCAAAGTTCTCAGCATACGGCACAAGGGTACGCACAAGTACCGCCTAGGACGAAAAATTCTACAGCGGGCTTCTCACGTGTGCGATCTCGGCGTGATAGTTCAGGATGATCTAGGTTGTTTGAGGCAGACTGAAAATGCAGCTAAGAAAGCAAACATGTACTTCGGCCTTCTTCGCAGAGCTTTCGGGCAGTTTGACCCTTCATTCTTTCCAAAAATGCTTAATACGTACGTGAGGCCGCACGCGCAATACGCTATTCACGCGTGGTAACCCTGGCTCAAGCACCATCTCATCGCGCTCGATACTGCACAACGTAGGGCAACGAAAAGCGTCAGAGGTTTGACCAGCCTCCCCTACCCACTCAGGCTGAGGACCCTAAAAATATACAGTGGACGTTATCGGCGTCTAAGGGGCGATCTCATAATGGTGTACCTAATCCTGAGAGACCCCAACCACCCATGCCATTCCCTTCTAATACTCAGTCAAAACACCTCTCTAAGAGGTCACCAGTTTAAGTTAGTCACGCAGTGCAGCCGCCTGGAATGTCGGCGAAACTATTTCTCCCTTCGAGTGGCACAGCTTTGGAATGCCCTCCTGGAACATGTAATTAATGCACCCACCCTATCCCTTTTCAAAAAAACGCCTTGACGATACACTGTCACATTTACACTACGTGCTATAGCCCATGACCACCAGATGCTGGCACTAATGCACAACGGACAGTGGACAGTGCCCTAACCCTACTCGAGAATGTCACTCCAAATCTCTTTCACACAATTTGATAAACGCTGCTATTGTAGAAACTGGATTTCTGTATCCCGTCGACCTGTGATAGCTGCACATAAGTAAGCGCAGTCCTTGCTATTTTTTATTTTTTTCTCGCTTTATACATGATCAGCAACCACTCCTCATATTGCTTTGTGTGCGCACATCCTAATTTTATACTCCCTTTATACGGTAGTGCAGTTAAAGCTGTAATCGCCCGAGCCGACGATTCCTTTATCCCTTGATCTATCTTTTCTCACTCTATCACCCTACGGTACATGTCAAGCACCAGCTTTTTTACCCGTTATAAATCATTGTTCATTGTTCATTCTACATCTGTTGCATCGCAACAACCATTTCGTGAACAACACCATCAGGAGAATCTAGGTCATCACTGAAAATACGTCGAGGGTTGTGACTGTATTTCAAAACTAAACTTCAGGTAGAACTAACAGACCGTAACACAACTTGCACTAACTGAACGCCAGATGGCTACGCTTCGGTAGGACGACTGAGCTGTTGCTGGAAAACATTTCGCCTATTGAAATACGCGGGTTATTTACTGTAATGTGAACCACTGCCAAAGGCTGATGACTTCTTGATGCCAGTCATGATAATTGAGTGCAATCAACTTAATTTATTGTCATTACTCCCATAATTCCTTGGCTTTGTGTTTCAAATTATAGGTTCCGTCTTGCATTGCAATCAATAACCCATGTGCTTATATTGTGCTGGGTACCAGCACTGATCCTCTTCCTGGATTCCTACATGTTTACTGGCCTTTCAGATGTCCGGCGTCAGTGCGACGAATGGTTCTATCTCCTCATAATGAAGCTTTGGTGTCATTCATGGCAACATGAATAGTAGTTTACTAGTGCTTTATGCCTCCAGAACAGATTGGTGAGAACATTATCCTCAGGACATTCTAGTAGACATAACTACTCATGTCCTGGGCAGTTTCTCAGTCAAGAGTTGTGTGTACCGTTGGAAATTCAACAGTGTATGAAAGCATGGTTTGGGTCGACTCACTTATTCTGCAAAGAGACAGTCATGGATAGAATCACATAACCTGAGGCACATGGCCACCTGATACGATTAGGTTTCGAAGCCTGAGGATTAGACATCCAGCCGAAGGTGACACCGATCAGAAACTGCCGGTGTCCGGTATACGATTGCGATACTCACTAGCCCTTGTTTGCACAGTGATATTCGAATCGGTTTATTTGGTTGCATGTGGAATCCAACTACTCGGGTCGTCTGATAGCTTAAGTTTTGTATTGTTAGACTTCAGTCTACGAGTAAAGATGTATGTGGGTTAAAACACCGTGACTAATAGGATCGAGAATATTACTGTTTTCATTTCTTACTATACAACCTTACTATATAACCCATCCGTTGTATTTTCTACATTTCCCAGAAGAGTATCGGCGAAACGCTATTTTATTTCTACCGGGCTCTGCTGCAGCAGATTAATATGGGTCCACGCGATGCAGTCACTGGCAAAGCTCGCTATACACTTGACTACTCCACTTTACTGCAGACTGAACTAACAGGTTTACCGGTGGTGAGTCGTTATCTACCCTTTCCGTTCGCTTTTTTGCCTCGCCACTCTCACCTCTTCTGAGCCCATGCGGGTGCATCTCGATGGCATATATGCTCTTCCATTGAGGCTGCAAGTGTTGTGGTTCTTGTTTCGGCCCATTGGCCTGATTACTTTGCGTCCAGCTCTTGATGGTCACGCTGCTGCTTTGACAGTGTAATTCAGTTCTTTCGTACACTTCAGTCCGCTGTTTCAAGGATTTCGTTATCGAGCATATTTTTTTTATCTCAACACATATTTAATCAACTCACACTGTGCTCTTCAATATCCATACCTCTGCATTTATTTCAACTGTGACCCAGTTATCTGTGCTATAATCAGGTGCGGGTGCCGCCTTTGTTCGAGACTATCATCGAAGTCAGAGTGAACTTCATGCTAATGCACTTGTTTTGGGGGAAAACAGCATTTATACTTTGCGCACCCACTCATTAATTCGGCATTGGTACATAACAAATCTTTGTACCAACTTGTGCTCACTGTGCTCCGTGCATCACATTTCGATCTGAATGCACACTTATACATTCACTTTTCCTTGTTCAGACCGTGCAATAATGTGAACATTCGATTCCGAGTAGTATGATGCTTCTTATCCTTTATTTACTTACCGTAGTACCTATCACAGGGATGGTAGCATTTTGGCTGGATCTAAACATATATCAGTGAGCAAACAATTTCGGAAGCGTTGGTTCACATTTCGTTAGCTCATGTAGTTGTTGGAGATTCTTCTAGCAAGAGATTCTGGGTGGCTGAAACATTACTCGCCTTGTTGGATATTGGTGTGTACGAGCAGTCGTTAATTTACATTGCTTCACTCCTAACTGATCAAACGTTCCTCTTAAAGAATACTGTATCCGGTGTCTGCACGTCCACCTGTGCGTCGCCTAGCCAGTACCCTTGTTCAAGCTCCTTCATGGAACTCCTTGCACGTGACTCCTATCTCGTAGCCTATCCGTGTTGCTGATGCAATAAATTGTTCTGTTCACATCCAACTTCTCTTCAAGTGTTTATCGGTATGAGCTCGTCTTCACTATCATCGTACTCTTTTTCCTGTCTGGATTCTTGTGAATTATGTCCTAATCTCCTACCTGCTACGAATTTCGACCACTGCTCTTTGCTCTACACTGAGTATTAGATGTACAACTTCTTTCAGCTGCCGTTTCGCTGGTCACCTGTAGTCTTCACTGGCTACTGATTCACCTGTAACTCCCTGTTTGGTACAGGGAGCACAAACGCTCTAAGATTTAATCGATATGACCACGGCGGAGACATCTTTGGATGGATTTGGTCGTAATTAGGTATACATCCATCGCTCTTCGAGTTAGCACCCTGTACACATTGTTAACTTGATTATTTCACGGTAGATCATTAGTATATTTCAGCCATGCGGCAAAGCAACAATGGTATGTAACCCGCCATCCGGTTTCTTGGTTGGGTCTTTGACCAGTGGTACTCTTACTGTACCCCACGTAAGTTGGATATCCTATCCCTAATGGGTCTCTCACTGTCATTCCACAGACCTTGATTGTGGAGGACCCGCAAAATTTGTTCAATTTACCCTCGCATCCAACTGTGGTCAAAGTACTGGATTGCGATACCATTTCACAGACAAAGGAGAAAATTCTGGATGAAATTTACAAAAACATACCATATTCCTTGCAGCTGAAGTCCATACAGCTGGATCTAAGTACGTCGATCAGTCTGTTTTATGAATCCGCCAATAACACCATGCACTGCTATCTCACTTTCGTCTATGCTATTTGTTATTATGCCGACAACCTAATGATATCGCCCATTTCCAAGTCTGCATGTCATCCGTTTTAAGAGGATCCAATACACCGCACCTACAGGGAGGCATTGGGTGGATTACACTGTCATCCACATCTCGTTTCTACTCGTAACTTGGAAGGAATAATTTCATGTGTTATGCGCGTGTACCGCTCTATTTTTTCCAAGTCGACCGATAGCCCCTTAATGAACGATTCCTATGGAAGGGGAATCACCATTCCAGCGTTCATGATTCACGGCACCACCTAGGAACCACAGAATCGAAATACACCACAACGCACAGTTTTGTGCATGCTGCTTGCGCGAGACCGATTTATCCTAGATAATCTTATTTGAAATAATGAGATTTGAACGTAGTCCGCGTACGGCAGGTGGGAACCAACCTGTAACTGATTCCATGATTGATCCATACGTTAAACCCAATGTAAACCGGTAGGGTAGTTACTCTCATCAGCACTGTGAATTCCAAATTCACGAGCGTGAACTATTCTCATAATCATCATCATTATACACGTTAGCTGTAGGTGGAAAACACCTCAGTTATTGTGCCGCAATAGTAAAAACATAAAAAATACAACATTGGCACGTCGGCTGTCTACAGTAACGGATGGACATCGTTTCGGAGTGCTAACAGCCGACTGTCGTGCCGTAAAGAGTTATATTATGCCTGGCGATTGAGATCGTGATTGAAGAGGAAGGCTAAGCAGGAAGGGGTGGACAAAGAAACTCACAACACAAACGCTATTGGCGCCGGCTCTTCGCCATATCAGTAAGTGTGTCCAACCAAACGTGTTCATCGTCCTTAGGACTCCAGTCGGACAGTCGGGATGCACCAACCGACGCCAACTTGGAAGTAAGGGTTTTCATTTCTCTCGACCAAGTCATCGCTTGGCCTCTCCTCCTCCTCTCCCAACCGAACCCCTGGTGTGCAGACAATGCACGTCGCAGCAGTCGGTGTGCTGGCATGCACATGCAACACGTGGCCCAGCCATCGGAGCCTAGTGCGTGATATAATGGTGCTGAGCGGTTCACTCGCTCTTCCTACGCGACGCCGAACACTCTCATTGCTCACGCGGTCCTCCCACCAAACATGAGCTAACCTGCGAAGGCGGCGATGATCGAATTTGACGAGCCTCTCTATGTCTATCGACCTGATGGGCCAGGTTTCACAACCGTACAGGAGGGTTGAACGGACGGCTGCGTTATAAACTCTGTTCTTCAGAGCGAGAGTAATGTCGCGTCTGCATCATAGGTGGCGGAGATTGGCAAATGCACCTCGAGCTTTTGATATACGGTTCGTAACCTCATCTTCGATCCCACGGGCGCTAATTTAGCTTCCCAGGTGCTTGAATTCCTTAACGACTTCTAGCTGATCACCACAGAGCGTTAGCACAGGGGTGGGTCCCTGCCAATCTTGGAGAAGAATTTTGTATTTTGATAGAACAAAGCATAGTCCAAAATGATTGACAGCCAGTGCTAATAGGTCCAGTGCTTCTTGACATATCTGGGAGCTGTCACAGATTAGGACAATGTCGTCCACATGCACCAAGTCAAGAAGTCGCTCACCAGGAAGTAGCTCCACACCTTCTAGTTTGTGTCCATCGAACGCTGTTTGCATGGGTTCATCAATAGCGAAGTTGAAGAGGAAAAGTGACATCGGGCAACCTTGTCTCACACCGCTGGTGATACTGAGGGGTGGCGACAGTTTGCCATAAAACCTAACTCTGCCCGAACTATGCGCATACAACACTTTGATAATGTTTACGTATTTATCCGGCACACCTTTCCTCAGCAGACTGTCCCAAGGGGCACTTCGATTGTCTTAGTCGAAGATATCTTTGATGTCAATAAACAGGACAACGATGGGTCGCCAATAAACATGGCGGTGCTCCAACAATTGACACAAGGTGAAGATGTGGTCGATGCAGCCCCGACCTCGACGAAATCCGGCTTGCTCTTCACGAATCTGGCTTCCACGAGTGCCAGTCAGTCTGTGGAGAACAACAGACGCAAGCAATTTAGAGGCACTTGAGAAGAGACTGCTCCCTCTGTGATTGCCACATTCCGAACGGGAGCCTCCCTTGAAAATTGGGACAATGACGGAGCTGCTCCAGTCTGTCGGGACCCTCTCCTAATCCCAAAGTTTCATTAGCAACTCGTGTAAATCATCTGCTAGAGCTGATCCCGCGAATCTGTAGAGGTCTAGGGGAATTCTACCTCACCCTCCGGCCTTATGCAATTTCACCAGCATGATCTCACGTTCGATTTCTACGCGTGAGGTCGGATCCAAGGAGACGGCCCAGGGAGAAGGACGCTCAATATCCGAAAAAGAAAGCGATAACTCAGGTTGGTTAAATTACTTTGCAAAGTGTTCGGCCCAATGTTCCAAGGGTTTTGACAGGCTGTAGATCGGCTGCCCACTCTGGTCGCGTATGGTCTCGCTAACACTTGGTCTCCTGCTACCTGTTTCCCGTATCAGACGGAATAACTTACAATGATTACCAACGGTAGCGGTTGTTTTTATTTCCAAGGCACGATGAGACCACCAGGCTTCGCGGTCTTTCTTCAGGTTAGCATGTAGTTTTGTCCTGGGATTTTTGCGAGCCTCATTGTGTTCGCTTCTAACCGGAATACGTCGGCGAACATCCATAAGTTCCAGAGACTGTGTAGAGACCCAATGTCCGGTTTGGCAATTTGTTTTGCCACATGAAGACATGCCTGCTAACAGTAACGTTTGACGAATATGCGACCAGTTATGTTCGACGGTGTTTAGTGGGCGCTTACTCAGCCCGGATATCAGCGCACTTTGATGCACATTCAGAACACCAGGCTTCGCCAGCTGGTTGGTGTCAATTCGTTCACATCGACGTTGCGGACCTCCACCGAAACGCACCCGGATGTCGGCGCAGACAAGTGCGTGATCGGAGGGCAAGCTGGTGCTCCAAATCGAGCGACAGTTTTGGACACAGCCTCTCCAGCGGTAACTGGTTGCGATATGATCGATTTGCGCCCATGGCTGGTGCGACGCTGGTGAGCGCCAATTTACGGTTCTGCGGGTGCCGTGTCGAAAGTTTGTGCTCGCGAGAAAGAGACGAGTATCTTCACACCACTCTAGCAATCGCTCACCGTTATCATTACGGGAGCCTACACCATGTTGGCCGCCCAGATGAAGCTCATCAGAGGACAATTTTCCGACTTGGGCGTTTAGATCGCCAGTCAACAGCACAGTATCCGTGCTTCTTCTGTAACGAAGGAGACCGTGAAGTTGCTGATAGAAAGCATGTTTCACCGAATCAGTGCTACAGTTTGTAGGGGAGTAGGGCGCAATGACACACAGGCGCCGTTTGTTCCCGCGCAACTTCATAGCATCGAACGAACCAGCTAATCTAACAGCGCACATCCGACTGTTGACTGGGATCCCATCGATCAGGTCAGCTTCAGCCCGGCGACTCAAAACGATGCCGACGCCAGCTTGACCGGCATTTGAAGCTGCATCATCGCCAGACAGGCGCAGTGAGAATGTGCCGCCAGTATCACATGTGGGGGATCGCAGAGTAAGCACGGAGCTCGAATTTTGCAGACGGGTTTCTGATAAACAACAAATATCGATCGATAGGGTCTCTAGTGTGCGGGCAAGTGCTGCCTGTTAGCTAATCTGTGGCAATGTGCGCACGTTGAGGCATGCCAGTCTTAGCGAGACGCGAGGACTCCAAAGGGAAACGGATGAACTGACGTTGTCCGCTTGGTTGAACATAGAATTGTCGACTGGATTGGAGCGATACTCTGCTACTGTGTGTGAGTTGAAATTAAAAGACAAGCGACTATTGAATTAAGGTGTGGGAGGGCCAAGAATTGGGGGATTGAAAATGGTGGGATAAAAGTACAGTTGGAGCGGGGTGCTAAGGATGAAAAAGCGTAAGGAGGGGGATAAGAAGACGGAAAGGCCTGAGCAGTAGCATCCAAACCCCTATCAACCTTGCTCGATGTTGCAGCTAGGGCGCCGTTGGTTATCCTCTGCGACGGCCAGAGCATCAAGTAATTGTTAGGAGAAAGGTTCGTTGTATTGCGTGGGCAGATTGCTGTCAGGTTGCCCAAGCCTAGACAGGAGAACGATTAGAGTTCTCAACCAAAGACTGGTTCAAAAACCTTACCGCACGGCAGCGGGGTTTTAGCAGTGGACTACAGAGAGCCCGTTTTATCGAGTAAGCAGCCACCCTCGCTCCAACTCCCAACCTGCAGGAGCAAGAGACTGAGTATGTCAGGCCACTAACCACTGACCAATTTGGTTTGAGTGACTCTGAAGGTGCAAAAAGCACCACCCAACATAATGGATCCCTGAGGCAGACAAACCATCGCACCACGTTATGGTCCAGTCTCCTCTTGATGGGTGAACTCTTCTACTGACAATTAATGAGTAACTTGTTTATATCTAAATTTCTGATCGCGAATTCATCCTTGTTGATCGCCCACAACAGTTGATTCTGGCGACACGATTACAGCTTTCAGTATCATTTATTTCCCTTTATACACCGTTTTTGCACTGTAAGCTAACCAGTTTTCACGCCCTACAAAGCTTTGTTCTACTGTGTTACATTCACGTGTTCGTATTGGCTGCTAATTTAACGATACGAGCATTTACTACCGCCACGCTTTTGCGATTTGTTTCACTTATCCGTATTATTTAGTTAATTTGGTATTCTAGAACTACGGTTTAACAGTACAAATTAATCTCCTCACCACCCGTATTTCTGCCACCAAGATCGTACGATAGCCTAGTGAATGAGCCTTTTTTCTGACTCCGCAATCGTAATGAGTAACAATCTCTTCGGACTGGTATTCTGTGGCTTTTATAGACTTGTAGGCTTCTTGTTGATCGGTGTAATAAACATCAGTAGTCCTGCTCGTAATCTCATCGCTCTGAACCCATTGGGTTGTGTAACCTGCTCGTATTAAACGTAGGGAACAGCTGATCGATAAGAGACAAATAGAGATACTATTTAACAGATAGAAACGCCGAGATGCACCTCCGGAATTGCGAGCTGATGCCATAAACACAAACCTATCGCCCGGTGACCGACTTAACAACTCGACGACTAGAACTCGCACGAGATATGCAGATTTGTGATGTCCGGTAGCGTTCAAAGCCCCGTGCTAACAACTCCCTCGCCATCGCTGCGCAGCGCGCTACTCCGAGCCTATTAGAACTCGCAACAATTGCCTTCTGGCTATACCTCCTTACCAGCCTCCAGCATACCAGTTTAGTTAACAGCTCCCATTTTTGTACAACCACAAACATAGCAATGAAAATAGAGTACGGATTGAAAACTGATGATACTAACAACTAACATGCACCGCAGCCGTGTAGCCTTTCACAATTCCCCCCTCTCTTAACGGAAGGAGGAATGGTTCAGCGCTCATTCTCATCATTGATACTCTCAGCCAGACGCAACCTACATTGATTCATTTTTCCTACAGTGCATCCACTCGACACGACCGGCTTAATATTAGGCAATTCCAAACTTGAACTTTGGACCACAATCCTTTCCACCGGCCCTGGCTTACTCGCGTGCACAATGCTCTTGCACAGAAGCATGCCACCTGTATGTTTGTTTCCATCAAACCCTTGTTTAACTTGGCTATAAAATTAAAGACTGGTAGCTCAGGTTGTTCAGATGGTGGTTGAACTGTTCGCTGAGCTTGGCAATTTGATCTCAGATGTTTCCTCATCAATCATGGTGACAACATCAGCGCACAGTTGAGTGGCGTGCAGTAGCGTAGAGGAGCCTCGGTGAGAGTGCGCCGAGTGTGGTGTGCGTGCGTTTTTATACCGCCATGGTTGCCCGTGAAGACGAGCAAACCCGCTTGGTATGAACTTCGCTCCGCGTTCAGCTGGGTTGATGGGTACATGACCTCCACCCTGGTCCCTTCTGTTTCGTGGCTTGTGTCTGCTTCCTCTTGTGAGCGAGTCCGTCGTCATTTCTGATTGTCTAATCACACGTTCCACCGGATTCAATCGATCGAGTTGGCGGTCTTTCGCCAGTAGTGTTGCGTATACTGCGTCTAGTTCGATGTGTCGATTGACTGAATTCGTTGTAGATCACCAGGCTTCCAAAAACTCCCGCATAAATCGCACTGATGATGTCGTCTAGCCTGGCGATGAAACGTTTGCAGCCAAATCAGCCAGCTCGGAGAACACCCGCATACCCTCATCCGCATCCCGAGCTACAAATCTTCTCACGGATTTCACGAGATAGTCACTGTTTGTTTAACTGAGTCAAAGAAGGAACCTCATCGGCTCGTAATAATCATTAGCTACAGATGTGAGCAGACAATTTATATCGAGGGGTTCGGCTTGCCAAATGTGCTGTACTTCTTGCTGAGTTTGACTTTGCCGAATAAACGCTTGTCGCTGTAGGGCTGAGCTCTGTAACAATCATCTATCCACTCCTTCGATCAGTTCGCCAACTCACGGATGTATTGCTACCTCCGCGTCTATGCAAATAAGTCTTTGTTGTTATATCTTACATCAAACATCAAAGCCATTTGTTGTGCACATTCATTTGAATGGTTGTTGGCTTCCTGTCCACAATGGATTTGGTCCCGTCCACATGAGTTGGAGATACTATTCGCCTTTATCCTAGCTGTTCTCACTAATCGAGAGCTCAGCACAGTAAAGAATATCGAATCTAAGTTTCATGCTTTTTGTGTTATCGTGGTCCCATTCACCCTCTGTTTGCATCTCTTTCCTTTTGCAGTAAACGTTACTCAGTGCTCCACAAACGCGAGTGCTCCTAGTGAGTTCCATCTCAATGTACTCTTATATTTGACTGTTCCACTAGGATTGGTGAACACAAACCCACAACTGCTGGCAATCGTTGGCCACAAGATTCATGTACTTACCTATTTGTCCCTATATTAATCTTTACCTGAGTACTGACTCTCTAGCATTGGGCGCCGAAGGATGATTACCTAAACATTCACAACCCAAAACCCGGTTTCTTAGCCAGGAAACATTATGTCAACAAAATCGTCGTTTTGAAGATACTTTCTTATCTTACTGCAGCTCTAAGGTGGGCTTTGATTAGCAGCCCAGTGATTCAATCGGAATCTAACTTTGGGTGGCTGTTTGTTTGATTCGGTGGTTCACCATCTGTGGTGGTTTCCGATTACTGTTAGTGCCACTCAAATCTAACAGTTCAATACCTTGGAAGTCAGGTAGCTTCATTGTCAACACCGTAAATTAGAGTTTGGCAATTTGCCACCATTCGTCGACAACGGTAGTTCTCGGGTTGCAATCTGCGCTCGACTGACATGGTAGCAGAAGCACCATGTATTGACTGTGTTGATGATGGGGCATACCTCTTCCCCTTGTAGTTGTCATTGCTCATCTCAAGCCGAGCGAGTTGCTATCCAATACGGTGCAAATCAGTATCTGGTTCGACGCTGCCGTCTATGTGTCAGCTGCCGTGGTTGACCAGTGTGCCCTGCTTCCCCCATACTTGTACAAACTAAATAAGACCAGCTTCTGTTAGCCTCCCGTATGAGTACAATCACACCTCAATTGAGCCTGTCCTTCTTTCTCTCATGGGTCAGACTGTTGCGTCGAAGGTTAGGCGTTGAACTCCCACAAACAGAACCTCTCCCTCGGAATGGTGGCTTAAACGCCTCACGTATCCACATAGGTTAACTATCAGTGTTTTTCCTCTTCTTCCTCTGTCCTCTTTCCTTGCCCTTGTCTTTCCTGGTAAACCAACACGATATAACACTAGCAACTAAACCATAATAATAATAGTACGTATATTTCCCGATTGTACGAGTTGTCCCTGGATTGTGGACTGATCTTGGGTACGATAATTATCATGCTCATGCATGAGTGAAATATGTCATATACTGTGTTTGATATCAAAATAATTTGGAGTCATGTAACTATTGTTGTTGCTGAGTTCTTTGTACCACCTTTAATCATTGATTATATATTCCTTGGTCCATATTCAGAGAACACGTGTGGTGATTTACCCGATGGAAATATGGTCATTATCGAGTTCTGGTCAAGGAATTTGCTAAGCTGAATGTGGAATGTTCTTGCATTTGTGCAAGACCTGATTGTGGCTGGTAAGCTATTCCACACGACAGCGTATTTGACGAGGAAGATGTTTGATCTGATAGCTGCCTTGGTTCTCGACACATAATGTACAGGTCTTGTTGCGTATATTCCGAGTGAAGTTATGTTGAATTTTAAGTGTACACTAGGCATTTCAATAATTAGGCATCTCGTCATACTGGTCAGTTGATAATGCCCGGTCTTGCTCCACACTCGATTTAATTTGGTATATATGGTATTTCGGTGACCCGCACCACCTTGAACATCTGTGGCACGATAAATCCTTGTTACTGATTTCAGTTCCCAGACATGCCAAGCTGCACTGGACAGATTAGCACTACCTGTCAGCCGCTTCACGCTTTGCTTTGCACTATCGAATTGCAAAGCTTTCCTCTAAGGTTGACAGGAATCGCCTCCTGCGCTGACCCTTGGTAGGGATCAGCTAGAAGTCGTTCAGAAACTCAACTACCTGGAAAGTTGTATCAGCGCCCTTGGGACCAAAGACGAGATCACGAACCGTACAGCAAAATCTCGAGGCACTTGGGTTAACCTACACCACCTATGGCCTCGGCGCGACATCATTCTCGCCCTGAAGGGTAAAGTGTACAATGCAGCGGTATTTTCAACCCTACGGTACGGTTGCGAAGCCTGGCCCCCTTAGATCAGCGGACATAAAGACGCTAGATACGTTCGACCACCGGTGCCTTCGCAGTTTGGGTCACATCTGGTGGGAACACCGCGTGAGCAACGAGCGTGTTCTATGCCTTGTTTACGGCACAAGAATCGAGTAGCAAGGCTGGCTCAGCAATTACGAGGTATCTTCTGAACACCGGTCATCAGGTAAACCCGGATGAATCATTCACAGTTATCATGCTCAGCCAAAGACGTTACATACTCAAGCTTCTCGAAGCCATTGGTATCGATTGACAGCGCCAAAGGCTCTGCGTTCAAACACAGCTGACTGTGACGGTAAGCCTTCCGTGGGGGAAGTAATGCACAATCGTAATTCCCTTGACCAAGAATTGGACTTATATGATCTCAATTTTGTTTCTTTGTGATTCGCATGTACGAGACGGATGTGAATGCACAGAATGACGAGCAAAATCTCAAGGCGCTTTTGCTAAGCTTCCTCACCTATGGCGCCGGCGCGACATCACTCTCATCCTGAAGGGCAAAGTGTACTAGGCAGCGGTACGTTCGACCTTACGGTACGGTTGCGAAACCTGGCTCCCTTAGATCAGCCGACATAAAGAGGCTAGTTACGTTCGATCACCGGTGCCTTCGTAGTTTGGCTCACATCTGGTAGGAACACCGCGTGAGCAACGAGCGTGTTCGATGCCTTGCTTACAGCACAGAAAATGGAACTGAGCCGCTTGGTGTCGTCATTTCACACACTATGCTTTGATGCCTCGGCTACACATGCCAGCCCACCGGCTCCCGCGAGGTACGTTGTTTACTCGCCAGGGGTGTGGATAGAAGAGGAGATGTGGTGGCCAAGCGATGACTTTCTCGAGAGGAATAAAGGCCCTTACTTCGAAACTGTGCTCGGTTGGATCGTCACGGTTCCCTGATTGAGGTCCAAAAGACAATGAACACGTTGGACTGGATACACTTGCTGATATGGCTAGGAGCCGACCTCGGTGGCGTTCATGCTGTGAGTTTCTTTGTCCCTCTCCATCTCTTTTGGCCTCCTCCACCAACCACGATCTCAGTTCGTAGCATAATATACTTTTACCTAATCTTTTTGTTACCTGATAGCCGTCTGGTAGCTTTCCGGAACGATGCCTATCCGTTGCTGGTAGCTCAGCTGGCATGCAACTTATTTTTTTCTTTTTTTCTTTTTATGTATTGCGGCACAGTAGCTGCGGTGTTTTCTACCTCTAGTTAACGTGTGTAATGATGAGGATGATTTTAATGCTGTAAGCTCGTATATTTCTCGTCTCTGACTAGACCGCTCCTTTTGCTCGGTGAACTAATGGCCTTGTAGATGCACCCAGCAGGAACACCGATGGTGATTTGCTCGAATCTGCCCCAACGACTAACCACATTCGTACTGTCCGATGACGAATTTCAATCAGAGTTGTTAAGTAATGGCTGGAGACAACGGGTTTTTCATTGTTTCAGCACGGATGTCGTAAAGATGAATTTTATCGATAACTCCACTTCTCATTGGATTGCTCAGAAATGCGAGTCTTGGGACCGCTGCTGGCCGTACGAGTACTCACGCTTGTCACTTGCTTTCGAAAGTACATTTGAGTTTGCTCACTAGAAGGGGATATTGGATGTAATTATTTTGGAGTTCATCACATCAGCTTCCAAATCAGATAGTCCTTCACTTGCCCGGAAAAGCACTTGACTGCAGTTTCAAGCTGTTGGGCATCACCATTATTTTGCATCCAGGCCAACCCTGTCCTCTGCAACGTTCGTAATTTGCACGGCAATGGAGCATAAGACGCGGTATATCGCAGTTACCCTTCAAATCATGACGGTCCAAAGCTGTCCCCCGTGGTCCTGTGGCATAATCTGCTGACTGACAGTTCAAGCCGCTGGTGCAAATGAGCTCGAATCCTGATGGATCCGATGGATGCGCGTTACTGATGATTCCCAACAGGCTGAAACTGCAGTCTAGTGCTTTTCCGAGCGTGGACGACAATCTGATTTGGAAGCTGGCTGCGAAGAACCTCAATTTATTACATCAAAAGCCCCTACTCATGAGTACATCAAAAGATTTCCGCCGTAACGGTTTCTAAATGCTATGTCGTACATAGCTACTGTTAGTGGATGTCGTGTCTTTCGGGGCCAACCCTGTCCTCTGCAACGTTCGTATCTTGCGTGGCAGTTGAGGATAAGACGCGCCATATCACAGTTAGCTTGCAAATCATGACGGTCTGAAGCTGTCCCTTCGGGGCTTTGTGACATAAGTAGCTGACTGACAGTATAAGCAGTCGCTAGTCATGTGTTCGAATCCTGATGGATTCGATGGATGCACACTACTGGTGATACCAAGCAGGCTGAAACTGCAGTCCAGTGCCTCTCTGAGCATGTGAATGACTGTCTGATTTGGAACTGGCTGCGACGAACTCTCAGGTAATCACTTATGGGTTTATCTTGATAATCACCACACTTGTAATGGCAGGGCCTTCATATTTGGCCGTTATTGTTCTCGTTGGAATATTCTTTTGCACTACCGACTGAGGACTTAACATTTTACTTATATCTTTGCGACATTTTGTTTTTCCGTACTAGTACCGAGATCCAACATGTCTTATTCCGTCAGCCTTTCGAAAACGTCATGGATTACTGTCCTAAATCCGTGCTCCATCAAAAATGGTCACAAAATCAGGAATAACTTTAAACGAATTATGAAGAGACGTCTAGGAAATAACGAAAGCATGGTGCTAGTTGGTAACCTGGCCTCAGTCGTTGTTCTGTCCATAAGGCGCAAGTCGCACTGATAGTTTCTTGTAGTGTGCACTAACTGCTTGGTAAAGTCGGTGATCTCAGTGCCATTAAGCATCGAAATGATTATGTGAGTACAGGAATTCTTCTTTTAAAAACAAGTTAGTTACATACTGATGTGAAAAATGAGGTTATTCAACTCGATGGTTATTTTCCTACTAGGTCCGACCGCTTTGGAAAGCCTCAGTTTCGTGGTGGCGTTACAAGTTACGTTGGCCAACGTTGGTGCAGTTCAGCAACCGTAATATTCACATAACGGCTTATATAGGATGCCATTTAAATGAAGGCAAACCGAAGTTCTGAGATGGCTTTCAATCCATCACCGCTGGACACGTCTAGAATTTTCTTGGCACATCTGCATCAGAGGACCAAGTTCCTTTTCACTGCTACTGCTGAACTACTGTTGTTTTATCTGTGTTTGCTGGCGACTTTAATAGAAAGAATACAACATTCCGGGGGCACTTAGCTTGGCAGATCTGGTGAGGTTTTCGAGCAGACAATATATCTAGTTAAACATTTTGTTCACAAATAAACGGCAGTTGTTTTCCATACAAACTCGGGCTCCTTTGAGCAGCCCAGACCATTGTGTTCTAAAATTGTGTCCAATCATATACAGTAGACCTAATTTTTTCCCACTGACTAGAAGCCATTACAAGACTATTAAAGGGCGGAATTGCCCCTTTGAAAATATCTCAAGGTTCCAGACGATCTTTTCTTTTATTGATTTTTCTGTATTTAATAACGAGGATCTGTCTCTTTAATGTGTCCATCCTACAGGCTACATCAAACATTGCTTTGTCACATGTTACCCTGTTGAAATGATTTGCCTAGGGGGCGGATAGATTTTCATAACCACTGTTAAAGCGACTTCGAAGGATGAAAAAATGGGCTTACAGGTGCAAGACGGATAGTCAAACCACGATCCCAATCTCAGCAATTAAATCTCAGATGAAAATGCTAAACGCATCTACGCAACCATAACTGTCGTAATCTGTGGAAGCTTTTGAGGTAGCTCTGTGCTAAGACCGCTTGCAGTCAGCGGGGTAAGGTGAATGTGTTTAGTTCTGCCTCACCAAGCGCACCCTCTTGCCCTCCTTTATTAGCGCAAGTTCAGTTACGCCTTTCGATCAAAGCGAAGTTCGCAAGGAACTCAAAAAATTAAAATCAAACAAAGCTGGTGGTTCGGTTGTTTTCTCATCAGTAGCTTTGAAAGTGGGCGGATTCTCTCACACTAGTTTTAACAGATCCCTTTAAAAATGCCTCACTACAGGTGTGATCTCAGGCATTTGGTGATCGGCAACAGTAACCCCGGTACCTAGAAAACTGGATCTCAAAAGTAGCGCCCGGTTACGTGCACATTTGTGCTTCTGAAAGTTGTCGAAAAACTGTTAATTCCGCGATTTTTCTTACAGCCACTCCTGCATATAGACCCAACACTTTTCATTGAATACAATGGCATATCTTGTTTATTCTCTAGCCAGCATTAGACCAAAAGTGTAAGCCCGTAAGACTTCTTTTCTTGATTATTCGAATGCCTTTGGAAGCCTGGATATGTCAATGTTGCTCAACCTGCTATCCGAGAACGAAGTCCCCACACGTGTTTAATGCGTTGTGTGACTATTTTATGCATCGCACTCACTTCATAAAGTTAAACGGTCAGAAAGTGTCTGTCTTCCGTGCCGACGGTGGTGTTCTGCATGGAGTGACCCTATCACCTTTTCTATTTTCCTGATGTGTTGAACATCTCCCTATACAGACCACGTGTATAGGTTGCAAGGACACTAAGGATAAGGTGTTGGGATGTATGGTCTCCACTATTCAGGATTCCTCATCACTTCACCGTGGATTGGAAGATCTGGTGGAGTGGTATTCATCCAGTTACCTTACAATTAATGCTTCTAAGTGCAAAGATGTAATATTTTCTTTTCTCCGCGGCGATAACTTGCAGTCACTCATCCTTATTGTGATTGAAAATCCCCACACCCACCTCATCCATGATCAAGTATCTCGGCGTCTTTTTGTCTCTGAAACTTTCTTGGTCCACACATGTCTGTGAAACTTTTCATAAAGTGGGAAAAGTTTCTTTTAATGCCCTCAGATTTACGGTGCTTTTATACTCCATATTTTAATATTCAATTTTATGACTTCTTACATTAATCCTCATTGGTTGTACCGCTCTCCTGTCATCTTTTCTGAACTGATTCACATTGACCGCATCTTACTTATACGATCAATAAAACCCAGTTCCAGATGCAATGGCTTGTCTAGAGATCCCTTAGTCGATTTGATCATTTCTAGACATTGATACCTGCAATATTTTTTTCTTCTAAGGTACTAAATGACTGGTTTCATCCACTGCGCACCGCGTTTTCAAAAACGCTCTCTTGCTCTCATACACGTTCGAAGTTCAAAATTTTAATCTCCCGCACGTCATCGTATCGCAATACGATGTTGCAGTGATAGTTGTGCATATTTCATTTTTTTCTCCTCAAGTATGTATTAGATATTGTGATTGTCATCCAGTATGTCCGCAGTGGTGTGTAACTACTGGAGACGAACTCATTGGGATTCATAACGCTTTTTAGTACTTAATCTGATCAAAATCCTCCTGTTTGCATCAGTCTTCGTATCATGTTAGCTGGTACCAAACGAACGATACTCTAATGCCGGTAGATGCATGCATTTTGTATTGTCTCCTCCGTATCATTAACAATAACCGATATGCATGGGTATGGCTAACGGTGGGTGCGATCACACGAGCTTGAGTTGCATAGAGAATCACCTCCATGTCAGACTTAGGCTGACAAATAATTGTTTTTGTCGCACATAGCTGGTTTCATCCGGATTATTGCGACAGCCCCAGCAAACCGAAGAATGCGGGGATTATCGTGGCATGACACAACTTTGAATGCTGAGTCCTGCTTTGTCCGGTGACACGGGTTCGCCTATCGAGGTAGCCGGCACCCTACACGAGCACGGAATTTGAGGTGGGGGGGGGGTGAGGAATGTGGGTAATTTCACACCGGAACCATCTCGGCACATGTTCCTTCTCACAAACATCCACCATGTTCCTTTAGACAGGAAGTAAGAAACCTATCAACTCTGCCTATATAACTGTCTCTGCAGTCACACACAAATTAGTATATACAGTGTGAGTTGGCCCCGATAGGCTGAGCTTCCTTCCTTGGAGGTACGGGCAAATTTCGAGTTCGGTTGATGTCAAAAACTCTTGCAGGATAGTAACTTTCTTGCCCTATTCTATGTGTGGCCATTTGGTATAAATCCTCCGGGATTGATATTTAACCGCACATTGCGAAAGTGGACCACCCACGGCGCTCATTTCCGACTGTATTTGTGACGGTCATTATAAACGAATAAATAAATAGTTTATTCTCGATGACATCTAGACACACCTTAACAGGCATGGTCAAACTTTTGCAATGTTTCGCAGTAGGCACATGGTTTGCATGCATAAATGGTGAAAGTACATGTGAGGAAACCATCAGAGGTGAAGTGGCGATTGTTTGCTTCCATGTAGATGTAGCGTAATGTGGAAATTTGTAGGCTGTGACTTTATTATGGTCGGTAATTGTATAAAATATGACATGTTAACCAGTAAGCTACTGGATTTGTGTGTCGGTATATATGTTCATGTATGTGTTAGTGGGCATTCTGAGTGAACTTGTGAAATGTGACTGAATTCGTGAGTTTGATTGCTGTGTTCGCCATCGTATGAAAGGGATCAATGGAAGTCTTCAAATTGAATAACACTTGTGAACTGGGTATCCTCCGGAAGAGGAAGTGACAGTGACTTTATTTAGTGGCGAGTCACATCCACCACGTCGCAGTGTTGTTAAACGGACCTTTGTGGCTTTCTATAGGGAGAACGCTTGCTAGGCGAAAACCCACCACGTCCTGGAACACTGCCGCCGAACTATTCGCTGGAACGCGATGAACCCTAACCACCCAGCTGGCACCACGGGGAGGTTGATCGGCTAGCCAACCACGAGATGAATCGTCTACCCCCTCAGCTAAGCTAAAGCCGGCATTTAGTGTGGGTATACCTGAATTTGTTTCATAACGACAGGTTGTTCACTCCTCGCTCCTCCCAGCTTAATTTATGCGGAGTCCACAGACTTGGTGCGTTGTAGCGCAAAAATTCTCGATAAATTCTCCAACTTCTGAATTTATCGATGCAACCACACGTTTCTAATGCCTTCCACTGGCAGTATGCATAGAAGCGCTTTTCATATGAAAAGAGCTGACAATGGATCATTGTGGTGTCTGATAACAAGCAAACGCACGAGCCTGACCTTGCTAATCACCACAATTTCTTCTCTGGTTGTGACTCAGCCGCTAACTTGCAAAATTTGATTGTTTATTCTTGCTTATGCTTTCCTATAACGAAAGGCTAATGGCTAGGATCTTCTCTCTTTTGCCTTAGCATTCTTGACTTCGACGTACGGCTCCATGATGTCTGACTGGGATCCATCAGTGCGCAGAGAATTATCTCCACATGGCTCGGAAAAGCCGCCGTTCCCTTTGAACTGCATCAGTGATTATGGAGTAAATGTCAATGCAGGATCTCGTTTATTTCCTCCGTACATAAATGTCTCGTAACTTGTTACTATATATTCGGCTTGTTCTGGCTACCTCCTCCTTGACTCATGGTTGCTCAATTTGATTGTAATCGACTTTCGTGGCACTATCTTGCGTGTCGGGAATTACATTCCTTGTTGGCTTTAAGGTTTAATGTATGCATGTTTGTCGAGGCCATTGCCTTAGTGTTCTCACTGGACAAATATCGACTCAAATCTATCCGACAACGTACTAAGATTTTTGCGGATCTTGGACTCTAACATTCTTAATATTCAATGTTCAGTTAGCTCGCACCGCTACCCTCTTATATCGACACGATTTGCACATGAACACAACAAATCACCCAGAGCAGAATGTTCTAGATCATTACGCTATTATCTCATTGATGAAATTCATGTGGAGTTCTTACTGACGTAGTAACATGGAAATTCTTCAGAATACCCTGCTGCATCGACTATTCTACCAGTCCGTATATTCTACCAATGTTGATTATACCAGTTTAGAAGCCAGATGGTTCAATTTCTGAACTCAGTTATTACGTATGCTGAGATGGCCTGGCATTCATGGTCTTTCACTTTATACCGCAGCCCTTCAAACATTAGTGAGAACATTGTAGCAAGCATTCTCCTAATTTATGCGCGCATTGAGCGCAGATTATTTCCAACCTGGTAACTGAATTGCAAATGAGGATAATTGACCTCGTTTCGATGTATTGCGTTATCCCTTTAACAGGCCATGTCTTTGCCATATGGTTTTTCGACTGATGTCATCTGTGTGCCCCCCACCCCACTTTTGCTTGGTTCACACACGTAAGTGCACAAAACTGTACTCTATTGGGTGCTTCCACCCTTTGAGAATCGGGGCATTCTTTCCTCCTTGAAGTAACTTCGAATAAATCTCGTTAGATTCACAAACGAGATCAATAATCCATCGTGGACAGTCAGCCGCGGAGTTTCAGAGCGCGGAATGTTCTAGGCTAGTAACTTGGTTCTTCACTAAACACCACAAAAGCTGGTACCACGCAGTGTCGTAGCTCATGTGACCAACTGTATGGTTACTGATTACACACCTCTGTAACCAGAAGTGAGTGCATAACGGATGGCGGATGATCAACCTAGTTGACCACCGGCTTCTATGTGGACTGCCATTCGGACGCTAGGGTGTATGAACCACTTAGCTGCCCACGGCTTTCGTGTTCAGTAGTGAATTGGGTGTTCATGCCCTCTGTACTGCTATACTTCGGCTGTTCAGACGCCGTGAGCAGTTTGTTACTACTCAAAAATCTAGTTATCCATAAATTGGTCACCGGCTCCCTACGATTCACGATATACATTAACCACCCCACTTCTGCGGGTCAGGTCTTGCTACCTAAGGCTCCAAGTAGGGACCACAAGTCAGCCCTCTTCCTCGGCCTGAGCAGTCGAGAAGTTCTATGCCCCTACAATATATATGAACAAATGCACCTTCGAAACCCTGTTCTTTGTCTCCGCTTTCCTCCTCCAAGGCATGCATGGCAGGCTCCCAAAAATGCCTTATCACACAGTGTTTTCGGACGAGAAAAGCCCAATTTCCATCTGCTTCAGTTACGGTCCCAGCGATTGAATTGGCCATGGTTCACTACAATGCGATTCATGGTCTACCTTGTGACTACGCTTCGTAATCCACACCCACTTACCACAACTTTTGTTCCACTTTTGTTGGACACTCCATCTTTGATTAACCTCCTCCGATGCTGAGCCACCAGTGATGCACCGCCTTGGACGAAACGTCGGACCGTGTCGGTGAGCAGTTCAAGATCGACCGTGTGCCATCCAGTGATGGAGACAGAAACTTTCAAGTCCACCATTCTCAATTCAACTTGGCCACCTTCAATGTTCGGACGCCTCCTTGACAGGATCGCAGGCAGCCCTTGTTTGCACTCTGGGAACCGTCAACACCGTCAACATCTGTTACCCTGCTGAAGCCAGCTTATAGGACTCCTGTACAACCTTACGGCCATTCTCCATTGGTACATTCACACTACGCTTATTTGGAGATATGACTGCTGAAGCATCAGGCCATGCCGGTGTGGGAATTGTGTTACTCGGACGCGCAGTAGCAGCGCTACTTGGCTGAATCCCAGTTAAAAATTAACTGGACACTTCAACCGGAAGGCTCCGTACGACCTTCCAGCACAAGGCTAACAAACACAGTTTGTTCTTCGTAGCAGCGTATGCTTCCACGGATTGTTACACGGGCTCAGATAAGGATGTTTTCAACCGTCAACTCTGACATTATCCGTGAATAGTGCCGCACGGATATTGTGGTGCTCGCCGGAGACTCAAGTGCGTAGGTCATCAGACTCCTTGGTGATGAACGTGAACTCGACAGCGAACATGGCCACAGTGCCCGTAAAACGGATGACAGTGATCGCATTCTACATCTATGGGCTGAATACGGCATGTTCCTGCCGAGTACTAACTTTCGGCACTCCCATCGCCAACACTTCAGTCGGCGACCTTCATTGCTTGGACGATCGTGGACCACATCGACCGCATCACTATCTGTCATCGTTAGCAAAGCATGATGGATAGCAAATCAATTTGTAGTACTGAAGTCGCTTCACATCACGTGCGTTTTTGGTTGCACCCGCCCGCATTACCGGAAACGGCTTAACGTAGCCAAACTTGCCGCTTCAAACAATCTCACTGACTTTCAGGATGCGTTGGCTTCTGATTTGAACAGCCCTCCACTCACGAACATCGAACTACATTGGGCGCACATTCGTATCGCCATGCACAAGTCTGTCGTCGTCATCTGCTGTCGCAGGATGTTCAACATATGGAAGCCCACCGAACAATTCCAGCTTTTGTCGGGTACAACTCATGGCGCAGAGCTACCAACGCCCAACCAACACACGGAAGATCGTGAATTTCGGTGGATGCAGCTTGTCACTGAGATTGAACAAGCTGCCTCCTCAGACAACTTCGATATGTTTTCCCCTCTTATCTGATCCACCGGCGGCAATGAACCAACTGTAAGCGAAGTTCTATGTGAGACTAACGGATACTTAGTTCACGGTCAACGTCAACTTGTACATTGATCAGATCAATTTGAATAGCAGTAAAACTGATCACCGATTCTCTCGAGTTTTCATTCTTGTATTCACGGTTCTTCGTAGCATCCCCTACCATCCGGAGCTAAGGTTTCTGACGAGCTCAGTCTTCCGATTATCACAAATCTACTGATCCGGATGAACTGCCTCCGGCTGTCCTCAAGAACGGAGACCTGCTTCTCTTTTGTGAATTAACTACTCTCCTTCAAAAGATTTTGACAACAGATTTCATCCCGTCTGATTGGAGTTTGGTGCCTGTCTCCAAGAAAGGTGGCCGAACAGCTCACACCAAATATCGGGAATCAGCTCTCCTGTTTTTACGAGCACTCAGTCGAGCTACAGTGGCCTGGACTTCATCCAACCTGCTCTAAACTGAAATGCCTGGTATTTCCGGTTGTCTAATTCCATTCCGCCTTCATTTATCCCCGTGTTCAGTGTGATGGTAGATTGTTAGGGAGATATAGTTTGCTGAACTGCTAGCAGTATTACCGCTTAACAAGTACACATGCATCCTGGTACCTTTACGTTCTCGTTGACATAATTTATCTAACAGTTCGGCCATCCACACTGTTTAAAAACATTCCGCATGTGGCGTGTCTGATGAATTTCGGTCCTCAATAGATAACCTTTCGTTCATTGTCAATTGATTGTACATCATTCGCAAACACCGATATGGCACTGCTATCCCAGCGTATGTTTGTGTCCTGCATTCAAATGTTGGGGGCGTTAGTCTAATGGTTGGCCAATATTGATACAACTTGCGCCGAAATTCAAGTCCATTTGGTTCTCTTGTAATCAAAAGGAGCGCGCAAGATCAGTTTATCCTTTTGGCATTGGGTCCGTGTTTCGGTCAAGCATGCGATTTTTTAGGTTTAACTTCGCCAATATGTACAGTATTCAAGTTACGCATGATATTATTTGATACGCTGTTTATTTCTCTAATTTCTCTTCCCCAGTTGACCGACAACACTCGCGTCGCTCTTGTGCGTTGCCACCGCCCAATGTGCAAATTGACAACAGCTTCTCCGAGTTAGTCAATGATTTATTATGGCTCAAATTTACTCAGCCTATATCCGCGTTCCATTAGGAAGTATATATTATCCTACAACCCCCGCATACGAACTGTCTCCAGGTCCCACGGTTTACCCTCTGTCATCTTGGGTTCATTGCTGCTTTCTCTGACTTTCTGAAATAACTTTCACACGATGTACGTATTTGGTGGGGCGGAATCTTCGCCAGTTTCTGCAAGTACCTGGTATCAGTGATGTCACTTGGCCGGCCACAACCAAACTTTGTCTAAAGGTTGCAATTAGTGGCTGAAGCATTTGTATGCTCGTCGTCTGAAACGATGGGAGGCCATCTTCTTCGTTGTGCGCAACTCAATGTTACCATGGTTTATTGCGGACACATGCACTAGCGCTTAGCAATTCTCGTAGGATGGGTTAGGTGAAAACGACCAAATCAAAACAATTTCACCAAATAAGATAACTAACGATAGACCGCTATGGTTATGCTTCATTGCAAATGGAAAAGTGAATGCTTAAAATGTCTCAACGGATCATTTGGTTACGAATTAAATGGAAAATTACGAACTACGTAAGAGATTCTACTGTTAGTTTTGTGCGAAAACCTATTCCCTTACCTGTGCATCCCATGCGGTCTGCAGTACCGAATGAAGCATGTCAAAAAGGTGCGTCCGAAAGTATATGGGTTTAGATAACTGGATGCTAGAAGTTAACTACGACCTGCAGTCTTATTTGATGAAAGCCCATATGGACACGGAAACAACTACATTTGGGAGAGCATTCCGTGGCTTACGGATTCGAAGGAAAAGTAGTCCCAGCGGCACTCTGGACATAAATACTGCTCATGCAACTTCAGGCGGTTGCTCCTTAAGTTAGTGATGGGGCTGAGTTCAAGTAGATTGCGTATTTGATTAGGATTGTACAATATCGTTTGCGCCGTTAAATGATTACCACGTGCCCGTTGTTAATGCTAACTAAACACTCCTAGTAACTTCATCCACTGTTGGCGCATAGGGTGATGCATACCGTTGAAACTCTGTTATTCTAACTCATGAGATCACTCTCGCAGCGAGATCGCGCTTTTGTCGTGATTGTCAGACTTGGCTAACATTCGGCGCGAAAGCAGGACTAAAGCATGTCACAGGTTAGTAATTGCGGATCTAACGCTCAGCAGCTGCCCTTAGCCGAAGTATCATAAAGCAAAACACATCAGGCACATGGAAGGCAATACTATCTTCCAAACAGCATGTTGTACAGCGCAACGATCCACTATTCTAAATTAGGCCAATCGATAAGTGGGTCAGCGGGTTACTGACACACCAGCAGATGCGGCTAACAAATGGGAAGGGCTCAGTACATTGGCCGTGAGGACGCCACGTTCCTTCTCCCTTTACTTTTTACCACTCCAGCTAGCTTCGTATCGATAGATGGGTCGATGTATCCGAGTTGAAGAAAGGCGACATTGCTGAGCCTTTGGTTGGCCAGTTAGGAGAGTTCGGCGCCTTTGTGAACTCAGTATCCTGGTTTGAGGACGCGTCATCTGGTGGAATTGAAACGGAACGATGGCTGACGTGATGCTTGTTCTGATTAACTAATCTGCCGTCAGGTAAAGCCACGTCGTATGTTCTCCCTCAACTTCGCGCAACTCTCCAGGCTGCCAGGTCGTTTCGTTGGGCAACTTGACGTAGACCGGTTCATTCTCGCAAAATCTTCGGTCGGAAACCTTCTGGTCATAATCTGTCTTAGATTTGTCTTGCCTAGCCTCGACATGTAGCCTCTGGTCAGGAAACAGAAGATCCAGCCGTGTCCGCAACATCCGTCCGAACATCATCTCGCCTGAACTCTTCCCAGGAGTTTCTTTTGGCGTGGTACGGTAGCCAAAAAGAAATTTATCCAACTTTGTTCACAGTGGAGCAGACGCTTGTTTCTGTAACCCGTTCTTGACCGTCTGGACGGCTCTTTCTGCCAACCCGTTTGAAGCTGGATGGTAAGGGGCTGAATTCACATGATGTATGCCGTTGCTTTTGAGGAACTCTTAAAATTCTTGACTAGTAAATACAGAACCGTTATCTGTTACCGGCGTAGGTGGTATATCGAAGGTATCGTAACACGTTCGCATGCAAGAAACGGTCGTCTCAGAGGTGGCATGTGCAAGTGAGAAAACTTCTACCCATTTCGAGTAAGCATCAATCAAGAGGAGAGACATTTTTCCATCCAACGGGCCAAGGAAGTCTGTGTGTATGCGTTCCTAAGGTTTACTGGGCCATTTCCAATGATTAAGTGGTACCGTAGTGACGTCCCTCTGAGTGCTTTGATGCACATCGCCGTGTCGGATCAACTCTTCGATATACCTGTCAATATTAGGTCACCACACGTAGGATCGCGCAAGTGCCTTCATTCTCGTGATTCCTAGGTGCGGTTCGTGCAGTTCTGGTAAGGTATTCTGTTGCCGCCTTGGTGGCATGATCGCTCTAGATCCCCATAGCAGGCACCCATCTCCGAGACTAAGCTTTGTATGTCGGATAAAGTAAGGCATTAGTCGCGATTCACAACTGTCAGGCCATCCTTGAGAGACTAGTCGCTTGACTTTGGCCAGTAATATATCCCGTTCAGTCTCCTGTCGGATATTTACATTGGGCACCGGCTTTTCGCCTAAATGTTACAGCAGATGGACAAGCTCCACAGGTACGCAAGCTGGTAGGTGATTAACAGCTCAGGATGTCCGCGATTCTATTTGCTTTCTCAGGGACATAGGCGATTTTGTAATTGTAAGCGGAGAGTAATAAAGCCCAACGTTGCATACGTGGTGACGCCATCTTGTTTATGTCGTTGTTCTCACCAATCAGGGTTAACAGAGGCTAGTGGTCAGCAAAAATTTCAAAATTTTCTTCCCCAGATACTGGTGGAATTTCTTGACTCCAAAGATAACCACTAAAGCTTCCCTGTCGAGCTGCTGATAGTTCTTTTCCCTGGTGCCAAACTTCTGGACGCAAAAGCTATTGGTCGCTCGGTCATGTTTTCCATTTGATGTGATAGTATGGCCCCGAGTCCTGTGAGGGACGCAACGCAAGTAAGAATGATCGCTTCCTTTGGATCAAAATGCACTAACAAGTTAGCGTTACTGATAACCAATCTGACAGCATCATAAACCTTTTGTTGTTCATTCGACCACGTCCACCTGGTATGTTTTACGAAACAAACTCTACAATGGCGCGCGAAGTCTAGCCAAATTGGGTAAGAAACGACTGTACTGGGTTACCAACTCAAGAAATGATTGCAGTTCGTTAATACTTCGGGGTGTTGGAGAATCCAGAATGGACTGCATTTGTTCCCGTAGGCTATGTAACCCGTGTTTGTCCAACTGAAACTCCAGATACTCAACGTTATCACAAAAGAAGACACATTAAGATTCCTTGAGTTTCAGTCCTCTCTCCTGATCATCCGACAAACTATTGGCCTTAAAACTTCACGCCCTCGACGAACATGTCTTTCGTTAAGAGCAAGTGTGGGTTGTGTGTTAAATTGGTGAAGAGTGGGCTAGTTTTCAACAGTTGCTTGAAAACCTATCACAAAAGACGCCTTGGGACCGAACCGATACCAAGGAGGCGGTACAATAATACGACAGAGGCGTTTAGGTTCTTCCCGATATGCAGTGCTGTCCCAGTTGTTAGCTGTCTAACTATACTTTTCATACTCCCTCCCCCCCTTCAAACTGCCGCCATCATGGCACTACCAGGCTGCATCGAAAACAACCAACTGAGAATGCCCGCGAACTGGCAGCATGCGGCGACAGAAATCCCAAATGAAAATATGCATCAAAACATCTCTATGGTGACTCTGTAAAAACGCAAACAACTGACAGCCTCGTATGCCTGAGCATGTTGCAAGGTACATATGATCCGTCCCTTTGTGGGCTAGGTTACTCCGTACCACTAGAAATATACCTTATTATTAAGAAGTGTGAAAGACTAACGGAAGCAGTCGAGCAACTAATGTGCGCCAGGGTTAGGCCTATAAGAGGAAACGGACCTGCACTTGTATGTGCAAATAACACCCCGAATTCCCCATTCAGGCCGAAGAAGAGAGCCAGGCGTCATAGCATTACCCCAACGACTCAGTCTCAATCAGTACCAACTCCCTTCTCTCTCTCCCATAAGTAAAAACATTGTCGACAGCGTGCCTGCTTCAACTTCGGTACAGTGTGTTACACCTAGTAGTTTGTTCGCTATACAGGAGACCCTAAGCTGCAGTCAACCAGCCATAGTGAGGAATCAGGTAACATTTGCATCGGTTGCCGCCAAGCAAACACTGGAAATAGTACCGGTAACCTTGGTAGCCGGACTAAAGAAAACTAGAATGTCGCAGCACGGATGGCCTTCATCAGTGCCGTTCACAAATCCATCAAAAGCACCGGAAAATAAGGATCCAAAACCAGGCACAACCATGGTGCTTTAAACCTTGTGTGCAGTAATGTCCCCCAATCCAAGTCCAATACAATTAAGGGTAGGCTGACAGACGATCGAAATCAATGGAGTCCATCTGTACGGCGATCGGTGTCCATACTGATCCCACGACATTAAAACGCATCTCGCGTCACCCAAACACATTGCACTACGGTAAATCCCGGTTACTTCGGGTAACACTGAACTCGGTGGATGAGACAGAGGCCGTTCTGCTGTCTGTGAATCGACTCCGCAACGCCTCGAATGGAGTGCACATACTACCTGAAATCCCGTGGAAAGAACGTTCAGCGGATCACGTTAACAGAGAGTGGAACAGAAAAAGTCAAGATAAGAAAACAGTGATTGCTCACGGTGTTCCTGAGCTTACTGATTCCTCTTTCGACGATGCTCAGGTAGACGACCTGGAGCAGTGGCACTACATCCAGGAGGCTCTTTCTCTCGAAAATGTCGTGGGCACTTCGTTGACAAGGATCCCTGTATCCCCGAAGTATAAACGCTGCGGTGTCAGGCGGTTGGAACTGGTGTTGCAATCAGAACTAAC